CGCGGGCGGGGGGGGTGGGCTGCGGGGTGGGCTGTGAGCGTTGGTCCCGGGAGGTCGCCTCCTGCCCGGCTTTCCCGCCAGGGGCTGTGTCCCGAGTCTGTGGTTACAGACCGAGTCCCGAGCGCGCAGGAGGGGAGAGGGAGCCCAGGAGCGCCCACCAGAGAAGGGGAGCGGGGGTCCCTGGAAGGAGGCAGCCTGGAAAGGAGCCGGGAGAGTGTGGAACAGCTTCACGCGGGAAAGCAGGACAGATGCTTGGCGTCCTGGTGCAGTGGGACCTGCTTCCCCAGCGTGTGTAGGGACGGTCTGGCGGGCTCAGCTCCGCGGTTACATGAGTGACTTAGTGCTCTGCCTCTGAGCACAGGGACCTGAGATCCGAGCCCTGGAACTGCTGAGTGAGTGGAGACAGCCCTTTGGGATGCCAGCGGCTTGAAAGGTCCGTGGGTGTTGGGAGTACATTTGGTAGAAAATAGAAAACTGTTCAATTGAGACGACTAGGTTTTAATCGTCCCTCCCAGTTTCATTTGAATAGGAAATGCATACTGAAAATCACACTGCTCTTTTGGAAAACGATGTGTTGGTGCAACAGATGGTGTGTGTGTGGTAGTGTGTGTTAAGGGCCGGTTGGTAAAACTCTTGCCTTTCTCCATTTGTGTAGAGTTGATATTGGATAGATAAGACCGTGAGCATGGAAGTTACTACAAGGTGGAAGAAAAGTGTGTTAATATTAGTGCTTTAGAAGGGATTAGCCAATATATTGCTTTGTTTTTTCACATCCAGGACATAGAGTTTTTTTCAGTACTTTGGATGATTTGCTAAAGAGTTATTGAGCTCCCTTGTGTAATTCTTCTGTGGATAGTTTAATGATTAACTTCAAAGAGTTAACCAATTTATTACAATACTGATTAAAAATAATACAGAAGAAATGAAAACCAAACAGAAAAATAGAAGATTGCAACCTAACTTATTTGCAAACAAAAAAGTTAGGTTGCAAATCTAGCAAACAATTAAAATGCCTCTAATGACGCCAAGTTTCGTTGTCTTCGCTAATAGTGTTCATATAAATAATTCCATTTTCGGATTCATAGTAACAAATATTGATTGGTCATCTTTGTTCCTGAACCTGGGCATTCAGCAAGAGCTCCACCCCCACCCTCAGGCAGCACGGTCTTTTACATCAAGATAGTATTAAAACACACTTACACCCAAAATCTATTTCTGCATTTATTTATTAAGCATCCATGAAGCAGTTGAGGTGAGCACAAGTATTACAGATAGAAAATAAAATACAGCTGGGAGTTACTGTGGGGAACGCATTAGAATGGACGTGAGCAGATTGAAAGATCCTATGCAAACTACGTTGCATCCCGAGGCCATCAGTCACACAGTTCAATGAGGGTGAAGGGGAAACATACCAGGTCCTTAGGGAAGCATTCCCTGGCACTTCTGAGGGAATGTTTTGCGTCACAGAAGGATGTGGAGGAGACGGAACCATGGCAGTGGGAGAGTATCGTGCGTGCCCATCTGATAGTGCAAGTAATGGTACGTTTTCTAGGACTGCTTGCTGTAGCTGTAGTTTTCCTTACTCTACGTGTTATGAAAAACACTTGTTGGATGCTAAGACCCTGGGCTCACACATGGTGCTGTTGAATGGTTTGGCTTCCTTGGGGATAAATCTAGATTTTTTAGGGGGGATAGGTGGATCTCATGTGCTTCAAATACTCGGTATTTCTCTCTGTCAAGGATTTTTGATAGAAGTTTGGCAACAGTTGAAAGATATATCAAGTGGGGAGGTTTATCCTGTGTTTTCTTACTGGGGTCAGGCTTGAGAACGTTTAGTAAAAATTAATGAACCTGAATGGCCATCCTCTCTATAGGATCTACAGAAAATTAAAGTGTATCCTTTAAGAAATCAGTTCTCAGTTTACTCCTGGATATGACCCAATAATTGATAAAAGTGTCTGGATGACTTTGGCCTTCTAGTTGTTTTTTTATTACTAACAGCTTGATGAGATATCATTCACAGATGATACAAAACACCTATTTAAAGTACACAATTTGTGAAGCCATCACATTTTATTATCTTCTCCTTTAAAAATCCATTAGCAAGTAACTCCTTCTCTTCATTGTTTCACCCCATTGGTTTTTGAAGCAGGTATTCTATTTCACTGGGAGGCTGTTAGAAAGTGGACATATAATCTTAGAGTCACAAAGTTGGCTTATTTATAGAGATAAATGAAATATTCAGAGAACTGTAACACTGAAAGTTAGTAGTTTAAACTAGGTGTGGATATGTGTGTGTAAAGCAAAATTGCTGCTCCTGTTTTGATTTCAATGAAGAAGTTATGTTTTGGTGAGAAGGTAGAATAAAATCTTAGCAAAGTAGAAACTCCTTTGAACAGGGTTTCTTACACTTTTCTGATGTGGGTGAGGAAGAAACTTTTCTTTACCCTCAAGGTTCTTTTAGTTGGTCTAATAACCAAATGAACATGAGACAGATAAGCAAGAGAAAATAACCAAATTTAATACATCTGTGTGGGAACCTCATACACATGAGAGAGTCAGAGACCCCACATGCAGGAGAGATTCAGAGACAGAAAGGTAACATCCTATATAATAAAAGGCTAATATGCAAATCAACCGAACAGTGGAATGACCGGTCACTATGATGCACACTGACCACCAGGAGGCACACACTAAATGCAGGAGCTGACCCCTGGTGGTCAGTGTGCTCCCACAGCGGGAGTGCTGCTGGGCTCACAACTGGCAAGTGCAGTAGTGGTGGTGGGAGCCTTTCCTGCCTCCATGGCAGTGCTAAGGATGTCTGACTACTGTCAGTCAGACATTCCCCAAGGGCTCCCGGACTATGAGAGGGCACAGGCTGGGCTAAGGGACAACTCCTCAGTGCACAAATTTCATGCACCTGGCCTCTAGTGGGTGTATAAGACATTCTGAGCAAAATCCTTAGAGATAAGGTGCTTTGGGGGCTAAAGGGTCATTGCAGGAAGAACAGATGCTTAGTGAATTGAAGTTTGTCCTGCTCTATAGACAGGTCAAAAGAGGTTGTCTCTGATCATCTCTTATTAAGTATGGGCAAGGCCTCTAATTCAAAATACTTTTTAAAAAATTGATTTGTTGATTTGAGAGAGAGAGGAAGTGTATGTGTGAGAGAGAAACATTGATTTTTTGTTACCACTTACTTATATATTGGTTGGTTGATTCTTATGTGTGCCCTGACTAGGGATGAAACCTGCGATCTTGGTGTATTGGGATGACACTCTAACCAACTGAGCAACCCAGCCAGGTCAAGTTCTTATAGGTAGTTAATGGAGGGGTGGGAGTTTCTCTTCTGCCAGACACTAAAGTTGCCTTTAGCTCAAAACAATACAAGTACCACAGAGGCACATCTTGGGGTGACTTGGTCTGAACTTTCACATGATCATTAGCCCAGTCCCTTTGGGCTAGGTCTTAGGCAGCTGTCATTTCACTGGCATTACGTTCTTTGTCATCTGGAAGAGTAAAAGTGGAAATCTCTAGAAGGCCACAAGCCCTCTAAACTCCCTCTGAAGCCACTTGAGGTGAGTGTCTTATAAGGAAAGAGGAAAGTGCTGAGAGGCACCCAAAGTTTGGACACTTCACAGAGGTATGCCTCTCTGCTTCCTATCCTACACAGCCTGACCCTGACCTGACCCTGTCTTCTCTATAATTATTCGTAATTGTGCCAGACTAGTAGGAGAGAGTGTTAAGTGTGCTGAGAACACTTAGTATTAATATCTAACCCGTCTCTGGGAATGGGAAAGGCATTCAATTATTATCCTATTGTTAATAAAATACTATTCCATCGATCTTATAACATAAGTGTGTAGCCAATGGAGTCATCACCCAGTAAAAGTCTAAAGACTTAGGATCTGGTCCTACTAGGTCATAGTCTACTCAGTAAAATGGAATGACTCAGCACAAGATGTGAGGATCAAATGAGATCATATAGCTTAGTATTGTTTGGAAACTATAAGACACTACTTATATCTATCTTTTTCTATATAAACAATATATTAAATAAATTATTTCAATATGCAATCAATGCACAATTATTAATGAACTACTTTACCTTCTTTTATTCATACTAAGTCTTCAAAATCTGGAATATATCCTACAGTTACTGCACATCTTAATTAGGACTGTCTGCATCTCAAGTGCTTAACAGGCACATGTGGTAGTAGCTGCAGAGTTGGGTAGCACAAGTCTCTGGGCATTAATTGATACAGTGATAGAAGTTGGTTTGGACAATGCCTTTTTTTTAAAAAATATATTTTATTGATTTTTTACAGAGAGGAAGGGAGAGAGATAGAGAGTCAGAAACATCCATGAGAGAGAAACATCGACCAGCTGCCTCCTGCACATCTCCTACTGGGGATGTGCCCGCAACCCAGGTACATGCCCTTGACCGGAATCGAACCTGGGACCTTTCAGTCTGCAGGCCGACGCTCTATCCACTGAGCCAAACCGGTTTTGGCGACAATGCCTTTTTTCATCCTGAAGATAATCTATTTATACATGTGTCTCGTGCTTTTAATAACTTCTAACTTGTTTCTAATTCCTAACTCTTCTTAATCAATGCAGAAAGAAGAAAGTTTCAGGAAATTCAAGAATCTGGGAAATAATATTTGTCAATTATTTTAGTACAAACCTATGGTGGGCAAGTAGGTCTACAGAGCTGAGGCTTATTTCTGCAAAACTGCCATCTGACTTTGATTTAGGACCTTTCTGATTTATTTCTCCTGTTTAATAACATGGGGAGTCAGTTACATGTCTTTCCAGTATACCTCATATGGTAGTTACCTCAAATAAAACAGGTGTACTTCAGACACCCATTAAGCAGTAGGCTAATTTTAGTTTAAAAATCGAATGGTATCATTTCAGTCACACTAAATCTAATAGTACTATTGTTATCATGCCAAACCACTTACCTACTTGCAGCTTGAATCTAAGCTAGGAGTAGAATCCATTTGGCATGTGCAGTGTTGATTTATGCCCAGATGTAACTAGCAATGTAGGGTCAGTTGACCCACTCCAGTTGCTACTGTATAGGTCTCACTCCAGTTGCTACTGTGTAGGTCTGGCCTTGCTACTTAGCTGTTCTCTGCAACTACAAACCACTCCTGTCCTTATTTCATAAATACATATCTTCCCTTCACCCCAGTGGGATGTGATCGATCTTTCCTCATAGACTGCCACCCCAACTTAGTGGTTAATTCAAGTGGTTTGAATTTTTCAGTAAAAACCATGTTGCTATCTTCTTCTCCCTCCATAATTTCTACCTAAACAGGGAAGAGAGTGTGAATCGCTTCTGGAGAACAGTTTACAAAACGTAAGCTTCCTGCTCTTACTTCCCTCTCAATGTGGTAGAGAGAGCCCCAAGTCTTGGTTTTTAGGAGAACCTCACAACTGTCATATCATTTGAATTTCAGCCAAACATAAATATGCCAGATTAGAAAAAAAATATGTTTCTGATGTGTTATTGTTTAGGAAACTATGCTTTTTAGAATACAGATAGCTGTGACTGGATTGTATAGCTCTTGATGAAGAAGTTTTCAAGAACAAAGAAGGCATTTTAAGTCTAACATTACATTTCCTGCCGGGAGCCGGTCCATCCTTGCTGCTTGACACAGTTGTTGCAGGGAAGAAACATCTGCACAGCATATGTTTCAAGGGACTTGGCGTATATGGCATACTGTTCTTAATATGTTTGCTCCCCTTCTTGGCGCTATGTGTTTTAACCAAGGTCACCTCTCC